AATTTCATGTTTGTATTTGGTGTTCGTTGTAGCTTGCAATTGTTTATACAACCTATCCAAAATTTGTAACAGATTAGTTAGCATTCATCATTTTTTGAGAAATAGCTATCATCTTTCCACTGTACAAGTCTATGAATTCTCTTTTATGCGTGAATTATGATATTATCTATAATAGTTTGTGCTCTTTTCGATCATTGTATCCAAATTTTCCTAAATATTGTTCGTAGTTAAACTAATTAAATGAGCCCTTTTATAATTATGGTTTTCTATAATATAACATAAATAAAAAAAATTGACATTTTTATAATATAAATATGCAGTAAGTTATATAAGAATAGTAAATCGATCAACTTAGAAAACAACGTAAATAAAAATATGACATTTTATAATATAAATATGCAACTTCGTTAAATAAGAATGGTAAATCGTGCATAATGGTTAGTCAAGTCACTCACGAATTTGCATAAAACATATTCATTTGGATCAAGGGCAGAATTAAATAATAAGTGTGCATACGATATGAATATTTGCAACGTTGAGCAGGAAAAATTGGATATAGAGTGATCAAAAGAGCAAAAGATAATATATAATTCACTCATAGAACGGAATTCGTAAGCTTGTACTGAGCAAAAGATGTGACATTAATAATGCTAATTCTTAGCAATCATAACTATAATCTAATTAGTGTTTAATCTCCTTCATAATCATCCTAAAATGCATCTTTGTCTACTATTCCTCACAATTGTGTACACAACAAAATGCAATCAATAATCTTGATTTCCATTTAAAAAAATATATCGGTTTATAACTAATCAATTCATAAAAAACATCTACCTGCTCCCACTTTTCTTTTCCAGCTAATTAAGAAAAGTTAAACAAAAATATTATGTATATTTTAGTTAGTATTTTTTGTGTTTTTATTGTCTTATTTTAGTTTATTTGAGTTTGCCTTTTAGTTTTTTCCAGTCCATTAAATTGATTTTGCTCGTTTGTGTGCTTTTGTGTTATTTACGTATTTTTGTACTTTTCTTGACTACTTTTATATTTTATTTTGTAAGAAAATATTTCTCGAATACTTTTGTCGAGGATTCATCAAACGAACTTCACACTTCTCGAGGAACGCAAGCCGAGACGGTCAGACACCCGTGGCCTGCAAACCTCGCACCCGTCGTCGCACAGGCCGCTCGCGCGCACCTCCTAGGCAGCATGCCAGTTGCCCACAGATGACTTTTGTTCGCCGTGACCCGCAGACCTATCAAAGACCTCAAACCTGCGACCGCGGAAGCCTGTCTCGCCGCGACCCGCGGGGGTCACGATACATATTTTAAAATTTAAATTTTTCAATCGGTTTTGTAACCCTAATTATATGGGGACTCGTGCTAGACCTTGAAATGATCAACCTTGAACTTTGAACACAAAAAGAACATTCCCGGAACCAATTCGAATGGCTCATGGACACCAAAAACCTTACTGTAAATAGAGTTTCGTAGGATTTTTCTCCATTTTTCTTTTCACTTGTTCTCGGATTAATGGAGCCGAAATCATTGAGAACAAAAGCTTGTAATTCCGGTTACAATTGTAATTTTTCAAATATCTATTATTATTGTTGTTGTTGATCGATTTATGTTCTTTTATTCGATTAACATGAAATTCAATCCGAGCATGAGGTAATTCATCCACCTAGAGCTGGGGATTTCGATTCTTGTCTTGATTTTGTGATGAAGGTGTGGTGTTCATACCCTTTCGAATTGCTTCATTAATTTGATTAGTTGTTTGGTCACTATCTGGTCTAAATAGATAACCTAGAATCTGGAAAGAGATAGGGTATCCGACCTGATATAGCAAAAAAAGATAGCTTGGTTGAATCGGTCGTGGTTAGCTCGATTTGTAGACCGAAGATTAGCTAGGTCGGTCGGGTTAGAAGATAAGAGTTCAGGTAGCTAGGATAATCAAGGTATGTCTATAGCTCGACTGATGATGCGCTCAAACAGTCTAGATATGTTTATAGCATAGATATCAAAGAGCTCGATATATGATAGCTCATACATATAACAACTCGTACATACGATAGCTCGGACATATTATAGCTCGTATAAATGATAGCGCGATCTTTGAGGAGCTTGGTAACGGACTTGAATAGGTAGCAGATCGACCTGCATAGCAGATTGAATCTAGGTTGTTGACAAGGGGCACATGTAGGGTCATAAATAAAGTAGATAAACAACCGTACGGATAAGATAATAGAGCTAAATAACTGACTGACAGACCTACGGGTAGCCTAGTGATCGATGGGTAGCTCTTTCGGACAGACGGCGCAGTCGGGTAGGCCTTCAGGCAGTCGGGTAGAGTATAGGCTTGTTTAGGAAGCTAATAATCTTCTATAAATAGGTAGAATTGAGAAAAGGTCTTAATCACACTTTATACACACTTAGCTTTCACTATATTTCCGTACAGTTTTTCATATCAACTTTACTGATTTGATCGTCGGAGGTTTAACACTGGGAACATCTCCCGGTTTCTTTGCAAGTCTTCGGGGAGCAAATTGGTTGAGGGACTTTGGAGAGTTGGTTTGAGGTGCAATTGCACATCACGACCATAATGTGTATAGGGTAGACGTGTTCGTAATTGTATCGTTTGTGGGTTCATTGACTGAAGTATGTGTTTGTCTATGTCTGATCCTGTGTTCGTAAAAGTATCGGAGATGGGCCTCTAGGCTTGTGCGTCTCTTAAGCTTGCTCGTTTATGTCCAATCCTTTGTTACGAGAGTTATTTGGAGCAAAGCACTAGGCTTTTAAGTAAGGGTCTCAGTCATATATTTACGACTTGAAGCTATTAATCCCGACCCCTAGAACTTCTTATATTTCTCTAGTGATTTTATTGTTATTTATTCGTTATATAATTCTTGATATTTTTTAGATAATCTCTTCAAATCAATCGTGATTAGAATGTTTAGAACTTATAATGCCAAACCGCCTTAGTCGATAGATCGGCTCGAGGTTAAGATTCATTTCATACTCGGTAAAAATATAATTTTCTAAAACAAAAACCAATAAAATAAGTAAATTAGCTAAACAAATAACCAAACACGGATAACTCTCCGTCGACGGCGACTCCACAACCACCTTCCCCGTACTTGAAGAAAGGGGGGTTGACGGGTGCGGTCCCACGGATGTGAAGCACACCAAAGCAGGGTGAGCCTAGATGGGTCTTAGTGGGGTTTCATCCTAAAACCAATTGGTGGTAGGAGGAGTAGCCCTCTAGGCTTATAAGTTAGACATATTTTCCCTGTATAGACGATGTGAGACAACTCACAAGTGTATATTCTAACAGAACTCCCACCCACCGACGAGTTAAAGAGTTAACTGCCTCCGCTGCCGCTGCTGTCGAGAACGTCTGTCAATGCGTCTGACGACTGAGACGCCATCACTGCCATGCCACCCTCATCCTCCTCCATCGACAGCCTCTCGACCACCACGCTCGTGAACGCTGCCGCCACCAAAAGTCCCACCTCACCAAATTGTGCGGATTACTACTCGATTTCACAACCAAATTCTCCTGCGGCGATTGGCACAGCCACCTTCACCGCAGTATTCCTACCCGTGGATGAGTTAAAGAGGGAACTGCCTTCATTGCTGCTGCTGTCGAGAACGTTTGTCGACGTGTCGGACGACTGAGACGCCATCACTGCCGTGCCACCCTCATCCTCCTCCATCGGCTGCCTCTTGACCACCACGCTCGTGAACGACGCCGCCACCAGCAGT